CACTAGTAATGCGGCAATCAGCCACTTATAGAGGGACTGCGGTGGGCATTCTGACACAGAGAGGAACTCCATTTAAAGCAAACCTGTCATGATAGAAACAAGGAAGGCTATCATTCCTGACCTCTTGTATGCAGAACCATACAAAGCAGTGTGCAGGAGTTGACATGGGAGAGATCTGTATTGTTTACATACTGGTCTCTCCCCCGTTGGAAATCCTTGGAGATCGGTGGGTGCCGGGGGAATCATCAGCCGGGACCCGATAATTGACAGCTGGGGCCGCAAAAGGTGGCACGGGTATATATATATATACACGTGATTTTCTGCACCCGTGAGGCCTGTAACAGTATTTTTGCTATAGCGGTTTAATCAGAGTATAGCATCAAGTAAATTAAACTCCTGGGATATTGATCTGATCAGTTAAGTAGCAGAGGGGGTTGTTAATCAGTTTCAGCTGCTTTGGTGTTAATGAAATTAACAACAGGTGCACTAGATGGGCAACAATGAGATGACCCCCAAAACAGGAATGGTTTTACAGGTGGAGGCCACTGACATTTTTTTCCCTACTCATCTTTTCTGACTGTTTTTTACTAGTTTTGCATTTGGCTAGGGCAAGTGTCACTGCTGGTAGCATGAGGTGATACCTGGACCCTACAGAGGTTGCAGAGGTAGTCCAACTCCTCCAGGATGACCCATCAATACGTGTCATTGCCAGAAGGTTTTCTGTGTCACCCAGCACTGTCTCAAGAGCATGGAGGTGATTCCAAGAGACAGGCAGTTACTCTAGGAGAGCTGGACAGGGCTGTAGAAGGTCCCTAACCCATCATCAGGACCGGTATCTGCTCCTTTGTGTACTTCATGAGGGTGGCCTGAGGGCTCGACGTCCTCTAGTTGGCTCTGTGATCACTGCCCGGCACCATAGAGCTTGAGTGGAATTTGCCATTGAACACCAGAATTGGCAGGTCCTGTGCTTTTCACAGATGAGAGCAGGTTCACCCTGAGCACATGTGACAGATGTGAAAGGGTCTGGAGAAGTCGTATAAACCGTTATGCTGCCTGTAACATCATTCAGCATGACCGTTTTGGTGGTGGGTCAGTGATGGTCTGGGGAGGCATATCCATGGAGGGATGCACAGACCTCATAAGGCTAGACAATTGCACCCTGACTGCCATTAGGTATCGGGATGAAATCCTTGGACCCACTGTCACACCCTACGCTGGTGGAATGGGTCCTGGGTTCCTTGAACCTCCTCATGCTGGCCGCACACAAATGTGTGGCCTCCCGGTGTCTGGGCCTAGACGCCGAGTGGCCGCACATTTATGTGCAATTAACCACTTCCCGACCGGCCGTTGCATATAAAACGGCCGGAGGGTGGCAGTGCAGGGTCGGGTGGCCGTTTATAAACGGCCTCCCCGCCCCCTGCTTGTGCGCGCTCCCTGGGAGCGCGCAGCACACCGCCTCCGGACACAGTGAAACACTGATCGTCGGACGGGACCTCTGTACGAGGTCCCGATCATGTGATCACTGATTGGCCAATCAGTGATCACATGCAAAGTAGTAAGCAAGATGTCACTTGTGACATCATTGCTTACTACGTGTGAAATCTGTGAATGACCACAGAGGTCACATGGAACAAGCCTATTCACAACAGGCTTGTGCCATGTGACAAGCTCTGACCAATCACAGCTCACTCCTCAGTACTTCTCAATGAGTGCAAGAATGCACACAGAGAGAAAGAGAAATGATTGCTTTTACATCCTGTATGGGTGTAAAAGCAATGTGTAAAAAAAAAAAAAAAAAAAAAATCTTCATCACCCTCCATCACCATGGTGACACTGTACTGCTAGGGTGACAGTATGTAAAAAAAATAATATTAATAATAATAATATAAAAAAAGAAAAGAAAAATGTAAAAGAAAATGTTTAAAAATTATAATTTTTTTGGTTATAAACTAATTTGGATTTTTTTTTTACTAAAAAGATAATGGAATAAATTTTGGCAAAGATTTATAATGAAATATTATTTATTTGCAAAATTTTATAAAAAAAAAAACACTTTTTTTCAAAATTTTTGGACTCTTCATTTACATAGCAAAAAAAATAAAAATCCCAGCGGTGAATAAATACCAACAAAATAAAGCTTTATCTGTCTCAAAAAAATGGTAAAAAATTCATTTGGGTAGTGTTGCATGACCGCGCAATTGTCATTCAAAGTGTGATAGCGCTGAAAGCTGAAAATTGCCCTGGACAGGAAGGGGGTAAAAGTGTCTGGTCTGGAAGTGGTTAAAAAAACATATGTGCGGAGAGCGCACACCCTGCGCGCTCCCAGCACACATGTCCGGTACTCACAACACTCACGGAAAGGTCCTGATCTCCTCTTTCGATCGGGACCTTTCTCGATCATGACCCTAAAACCCCGCCCCGCCTCCTGAAACCCTTAAAGGGCCGGGAGGCTAAGGGGTTAAGAAACACTCAACTGCTTTGTGCACTGGACTTATAATTTAGGCATTCCCTGTAGCTTTAAGACAATAGCATTGTTTGTAACAATCACAGTGCCACGGTTAGCCCCTGACTGTCAAAGCCTTCTCAGGCTAGGTTCACACTTGTAGACTGGCTGCGGGAATTGTATCTGAATGGCACCCCTACGCATCTCAGTCTGCATAGCATTTGCAGGTGTGTGGACCGCAGACAAGCCGCATGGTTAAAAAGACCATGTGGTTTCCCTGTGGCTGTGTTTTTAAAAACGTGCATACACTTTTTCCTGCAAGAAACAAAGCACAGTAGCCCATTCAAATGAATGGCCTTCCGTGCCCGTGCAAATGCACGCCACACGGCCCGCAATAGTGTGAACCACGCCTCACTCCTTATCACAGTAAATGGACATTTGTTGTATTGACAAAACTCCATTCCTTGTACTCTGCATAAAATGACATTATGGGGAGTCACTCATCCAGTTCTCATTGCTCCATTATCACAGTATAACCAATGACTTGTGTTTGCGTTCCAGGTTATTGATAAGGAAATCCATGAATATTTTTTTTTTTCAATGGACTTTCTTTATCAATGGGCTGGAATTGAAACAGATGTAATTGATTACATATTGAGAGAGTGAAGAAAGGATTTGGCAACTCAACCTTGTTGTTATGCCATACAGGATGAATTGACCTTTTTTAAAAAAAAAACTCTAATACTAGATTTTGGTGTATTTTCTATTGTTGGAGTTTTTTGTAGAAAATTGTAAAACTATTGATTCTGAATAGCAACTATTCTATTTTGTTAAAGTGTCACTAAACCCACAACAGTAAAATCAGTAAAGCATGCTTGTTATACTCACTGTGGAACCTAAGGGGTTAATCCTCTGCATTGTGTAAAAAGGCCATTTGATCCTGTTTTCTCTGCCCCACCTCTTGTTCAAATGTCCACCTGATAAGACATGCTGAACCCGTAGCCACATGCACATGCTCAGTTTAGTGTGTATTGTTAGAGAGTGTTTTTTTTTTTTTTTTTTGGGGGGGGGGGGGGGGGGGAGGGGGGGGGGGGGGGGGGGGGGGGGGGGGGGGGGGGGGGGGGTGAGTGCATGTAATCAGCACAGAGCCAGTCAGAACTGTCCAGACAGAAGTCAGGGGTTCTGAATCCTCCTAGAGCAGAAAGAAAACTCCTGCTACAAGCTTTAACCCGTCCTCATCTGAAGTCACAGGACTGCTGTAGCTGCTGATAAGAAAAGGTATTTAGCAGTTTATATTTACTAAAACAATTGCTCTGTGTACTGTGGGAGACCAGATATAGTGAATGCAGGCTCCTGGGTTTAGTAACACTTTAATAATGACCTGAAAAAGTAACACACACACACATGCCCAGTGTTCAAAATCCAAAAAGGTACTATTTTCATATTTTTAAAATGTTTTCGATCAAAAAAAAAAAAAAAAAAAAAAAAAAAAAAAAAAAAAAAACCTCAAAACGACAACAAAATACAATAAAGAGTATGCAAAATAGAAGTATAAAAGAAATAAATATTTTTGGGGGGTGTATACACTGTAAAAAAAAAATAAAAAATTATATATATATATAATAATAATATATAATAATAAAATATATATATATTAATAATAAAATATATATATAAAAATATATATTAATATTATTATTAATATATATATATTTTATTAATAAAAAAAAAAAAAAAAAAAAAAAATTATATATATATATATATATATATATATATATATATATATATATATATATATATATATATATATATATATATATATATGATGTTTGTATATTTTATTGTTATATATTAAAATATCCAAGTACAATAAAATAAATAAAATATTTTAAGGTAGATGGTTTACTATTTTATTGCAGTTTTTTTTTCTGAAGTCTTGCATGTTTAAACTATTTAATTGCACATTAGTAGTACTATATACCAGTGTTTCTAAACCTTTTTTTTTCAGTGATGGCATCCTTTAAAATGATGAACAGTCGTGGGGCACCCCATTTTAAAGTGAAAAAAGTGAATAGTTTTACATAACACAGCAGAATCCACACACATGTGGGCTACCTAGCATTACAGGTGATTTATTCCTCCAACTTTTCAAAAACTTATACTGAATAGTATTCTAGCACTTCCTTCTACCTCTGTTTCTCTCCCTCTCTCTGCTAAAAATCCTGACAGAGGGGAGCAGGGGAGAGGAGGAAAAATGGATGCTATAAAAAGTATTTGACACTGTCATTGCTTGTCAGGATGCCAGTGACTGGCCTGCACAGTGTTCAAGTTTGTAATTCTGCACAATAAAAATTTGTGGCTTTATGTAGCAAAAAGGCAGGCTTGATCCAGTTGCTGGTTTGTTGACAATTTTTTGGGCATTTTGCCAAGGCACCCCTGAAAAATTCAAAAGGCACCCAGGGTGCCTCTGTACACTGGCTAGAAAAAGGCTAGTCTACACTATTTATAAGTATATTATGTCAGCCATACCACTACAAATAAATAAAAATATAGTTACCATGCTCATGAGAAATGTCTACAAAAACTGGCACAAGGGGTCTCCCAGCAAACTCCTCAGCATGGTTGACTAGAGCATCTTTTACCGTTTCGTAGCCACAGAGCACAACCATCTTCTGTGTCCCTATCTGTAGGCTGTACACTGAGCCGTACTTCTCAGCGAGCTGCAATATTAGAAAGAAAAAAAATTAGTTCAGCCTATAAGAAACCAGGGGGCGATTCATCACAGATGAAATGTCATGGCTGGGTAATCTTTAATAAACATACAAAAAACATATTACTTTTTAATAGTTAAAAAAAAATTGGAATTTTTTTAAAAAAGGAGAGGTGTCATATTCCATATAATATACAGTATAAATGGAAATGCTTTGAGAAAATGTAAGTCATTTTACTGTAGCACTACCCCTTTAGGAGTTGCTGAAGTTTTGGGTCCCCCTATAGACCTGCAAAGTCAAGCATCATGCATATTCCATTCAGACTTGTAACCAGCCCTTGAGCTTGTTTTTTAGATTTTATTAGAAAAATTAGAACTTGGATGGAGTAAGGGTTGTATGGGATGCCCAAGGGTATAACAACCGAGGACAACTTCCTGGAACTATGTACAAGTCTTTACAGCAAACTTCTCTTCTGGAGAGCTGTACTAACACTCCAGACCCCAGATACTCCTTTATCTGGCTGCCTGGACAGGGGATCCAGTGCCTGTCAATTTAAATGTAAGACAGTCCTGGGTAGTAAGCTAATCCAGTTTCCTACTGAAGTGCTCCTTCCACTTACTGGCCCAGGGGGTGTAGGTCTACTCACTCAATTCTTCTCCCACGCTTCTGGTGGGTCGATAGCTGCTACAAAGCCTTCTAGCTGGGCCGCTCCTTCCCTGCTGTATAGTTGGTCCTCCCTCTGGTGGCCAGTGAAGTCCTGAGCTTTCCTGCTTCCAAGCTCCTCTGCCTGCTCTCCATCTAGGCTCCCTCCCAGGCTCCTGCTCTCTAGCCTCACTTCTCCATCATCCACCCTCCACTAACTCTCCTGCTGCTGAGCAGTCCCTGTCACTTTTAAGGGGTGTCCTGACCCCAAGCCAAGCCTTCTGTTGGGGATTGGTCAGGATAGCTCAAGAGTGCAGACTAGCCACTCCTCACCTCCACCCACCGCTTCCAGAACTTTCTCCAAAGTTCTAGTACAGGGTTAGTTTCAGAGAGATGATCTGCAGAGCCTCAGCTCTGACCGAAATTTTACCCTGCTAGCCATCACACCCAGGCTGCTGCTCAGCCCTCCTAAATAACAATAGGACAAACATAGCATCGAATGTGGGATTCTATGATTCAACTTTTATTTTGTTAACCATGCATTCTAACTTTATTATATGAATAGTTCCCAGAACAATGCGTTGACAAAAGAGAACTAAAAAAAGAGTTGTGGGGACAATAGAGGAGATTCCTAGCCTGTAGACCTCTTTTCTTGCTAGGTAAGTAGGTTTGTTCTGATATGATAAAGACATGTCCTCAAAAGGAGCTAGGAAATATAATTCCACTTTTGACAAACTGAATACATAGTTCATAGTATTGAACACATAGTCTGGCTGAAAAAAGTCCATCCAATTCAACCATAAAAAAAAAAAAAAAAAAAAAAAAAAAAAAAAGTTATCCCACAGTTGATCCAGAGGATGGCAAAAAACCCAGCAAGGCATGACTGAATTTGTTCCTGAGGGGGAAAAATTCCTTCCTGATCTCCTGAGAGGCAATCGGATATTCCCTCAAACTATTGAGCATCATTCAGCCTGATGGAATGTACCTCACTAAATAACAAAAATAGGTCTGTTTCTTATAAAAATATTTCACAAATTGACATGCCACAATGCACAGAGCATGTTCCCCCATGTGTTTTGGTGTGCTGTAGAGAACATTCACTGCAGCACAAGCTACATGTGCAATGGATTGAAATTCCTAGGAATGATTACTCTTACAAAGTGCACTACTGTGCATTACCATTAATGCCTGTTATGATGTGTGCTATGACAAGTAACAAGCTGTACTTTAAAATAAACTGTGTGATGTTTCTGACTTTAAGACATTGGCAGTGTTTTCTGGATATGCATTACGCAGTTTGGTGACCTTTTTACTTGGAGCGTCACAAAAAATGGATGCATCCATCTACTGTATGTTGTTGGATGGGTGATGTGTGTTCAAGCAGAGATTAGTACCCCTTTCAAGGAAACCTTGTCTCTGGGTAAGAGCTACAGGGGTTGATAGGGAGATACAGAACACCACTATGTAGGTTGTAGCACTTTGGGGCAGTAGCCCTTTGGGGCAGTCCTGACAGTCCTGACACTTTGGGGGCAGTAGCCCTTTGGGGCAGTCCTGAAGAGTAGCCCTTGGGGGCAGTCCTGACATTATTATTATTATTATTATTCAGTACAGCGCCAATAGTTCGCTCAGCGCTGTACATTACAAAGGGGGACAGAAAATACAGAACAATACCAATACAATGCAAAACATGAGGGGATCGAGGGCCCTGCTCTTTCAAGCTTACAATCTAGGAGGGAGGGGATGGTGGCACAGGAGGAGATAGCTGTGGGGGATGGAGTAGAAGAGTGGAGGAGGTCGGCAAGTTAGCAGGGGGCAGGCTAACCTGAAGAGATGGGTTTTCAGGGTGCGCCTAAAGGAGAGGAGAGTAGGTGATAATCTGATGGGTTGGGGCAGGGAGTTCCAGAGGATGGGTGACACCCTGGAGAAGTCCTGGAGGCGGGCATGGGAGGAGGAGACCAGGGAACTAGAGAGAAGGAGGTGTGAGGAGCGGAGTGTGCGTGCTGGGCGGTACTTGGATATTAGGTCAGTGATGTAGTTCGGGGCAGTATGGTGACATAGACCCCATTAGAGAAATAATATAAAAAATCTACACCTTAGGAAAATGGATGTGCTAGTTGGCATCCCAGAGTTGGGGGAAAAAAAAAAAAAAAAAGGAGTGCAGACTGTGTCGTAATTCTATTGTCTGGTGGAAGGAGGAAGAGGTGTACTTGTGTATTGTGAAGAACTGTGCACTCTGCTCATGTTACAGTAAAATATTGAAAAGACTGATTGTGTGTGGCTATTCCGTTATTTCTGGAGCTGGGCCTCTGGCTGGGAGTATGTGAGTAACAAAAATGGTGGAATTCCTCTATTCTACAGGAGTATGGTACCCCATCACATTCCAGTTGCAGGAGAAAAATTGGAGGTGCCCTCGGCTGGTTTGACTGTTGCTGGTGATGAATCAGGGCTCTGCTAACATGTGCATCCATTGATTGTATAATTTAGTCATGGATAAGAGTACATATTTTTGTTATTGTAGATTAGAGTTGCTGTTTAATTGTTGGGTGTATTAGGAGATGATATGTGTTATAACATGGAATGATCTGAAGAAGCCAAATCATCTACAGGGCAATCCTAGACAGAAGCCTAGTGCCCAGTGGATGTCTAGAGGGCCCAGGTTACCTCTTGATCTTGCAGTAAAGCACAACCAGGGGCGGACTGACAACTCATGGGGCCCCTGGGCAATAGGAGATCATGGGGCCCCTGTGTCCTTGCCCACACTCAAACCACACCCAAAAAAGCCTATGAAAAAGTACCAGGGGCATCTCATGGGGCCCCCTACTGACCCCAGGTCCTGAGCACAAGTGATAAAAACTGTACACATGACTGTCACTTCACAGGGGAGGATGAACTAGCATACAATTGGTGTCTCATTGGATAGCCATGATAGTATAGATAATAGACTTCTCCAGGGCGTCACCCATCCTCTGGAACTCCCTACCCCAACCTATCAGATTATCACCTACTCTACTTGCCTTTCGGCGTTCACTGAAAACCTTTCTCTTCAGGGAAGCCTATCCCACACTCTGCTAATTCTGGTATCCTCTACTCTTCCAACCACTCGATCCCCCACAGTGACTACCTACTGTACCACTCACCCCCGCCCTCCTAGATTGTAAACTCCAAGGAGCAGGGCCCTCTAATCCCTCTTGTATTGAACTGTATTGCTACTGTATTGTCTCCCACTATAATGTAAAGCGCTGAGCAAACCGTTGGCGCTATATAAATCCTGTATAATAATAATAATAATAATGTAAATGGAGTGGCTTCTGTTACTATTGCGATCCTAGTCAATCAAAGAAATGGGGGAGAAGCCAAAGCTGCTACCTTATCTAGGGCAGTGTTGTGCTTTAATACACCTGTTGCCTGAACATTAACCAACTATTATTTTAGATGAAGAACCTCTTTTCTCTATACATGTGTATACCCAAGATCTTACCTCGTGAAATGTCACATAAGGTTTTTCCATGCTTATAACATGCATATTTCCAATGATCGGGAAAGTCGGAGGTCCCGGGGGATAGTTTTTATGAACATTTTTCTTCTGTTCGTGTAAAAATATTGCCAGAAAAACACAGGTAACAATGCAGAAGATAATTGTGACTGGATCCATTAGTTATAAGTCTGTGACAACACCTGAAAACAAAAAGGGGGAGTCACAAGCTAGTAGGAAAGGTCAAAGCCTTCACAAGTGAAAACATAAAAAACTTTATTCTAATGAAGTACAGTATATAAATACATGTATCCATAATCAACATATAGATGCAAAGTTTGTATACAGGTAAAAAATCCCCATTCAAAAGTGGAAGTCAGCTTTTAAAAGTTTATCCAAAAACAGAAAATTTAAAACCTAAGTGCAGCCAAAATGAAAAAAACAGAAACATCAGCAAAAGAGACTTGCAAATATTGTTATGGGAGGGGCAGTCTATTGAGTTGTTCTTCTGCCGAATATTGCTGGGGCCTCTTGAGAGTGTCAGTGAAATTAACAACAGTCCCACTAAACCTGCATGCAGTATAGGTACAGTATTGTCTCACCACAGGTGCAATGTAGATGTGGTTCAGATGCGGTAAAGGTTTGGTATAATGCAGTGCAGGGTTGGTAAAAATGCAATCTAGGTTTGGAATAAGTGCAGTATAGAGTGCAGCATGGGTGCAGTATGAATGAGGTACACTTGGTGTTCTGCTATCAGTGACTTGGTCCCTGCTAGCAGTATCATCAATGGGTGAATAGTCTTTAGTGTAAGGAGTCTATTTGTCCCATTGTATGGTTGCCATCTCAAACTACAACTCCCAGTATTCTCAGCACTTTATGTAATAAAGAGGACCTCCTGTGCTCAGAACCTAATACAGCTATTGAAGGCTGCTAACACCTGTACCTTATTACCTAAAAGTGGAAACGAACAAAAAAATATACAAAAGTAGGTGTAGCGCTCTCTAAAATAAAACACAGCGAATAAAATCCCCAATAGGATATAACAATGTGACAAATGGTGAATAAACAAACAACTTAAAGTGTTCCAATACTGGATAAACCAGCAAAAGTGAATAAACTCAATAAAATATATTGATATATAGTGAAAATATACATGTGATCTCAGCACTGGGGGATGAATAACTGCAAAAAAGTGACAAAAAAGTGCTCCGTGTCCAAAAACACTCAAACCATATATATGACAAATATAGAAATAAACATATGTATCCCCTATGGAAATATGATTGATTTAATAATGCACAAATAATACAATTGTGAGTGAAAAAAAAAAAACATTTATCTTCTGCAAAACATATAAACCCAAATCTATTGATCAATATGTGACACCAGTGTCCACAAGAATATAAAAATCATGCAGGTGATTCTTGTGCGTTGCAGCCTCTGGTGATGATTCCACACACAGCTAGATTGGCTCCTCACCTCCTTACCGTGACCCTAAAAGGGCCTACAAGCCTTTGGGATCACTCCTGGATCCTCCAAGACCAAATCGTATCCTCCAAACAATCTCACCACAGGAGAAACAGCATATGCCTTCCAGACCAAGATCAGCTCGATAATCCCCTTTAAATTGTTCTAATCAGTATGACCAGCTCCCACTATTGTTGGGAGTTTAGAATGACTTCATGTGGTTTATGCTACGTGTGGAGTTTCTTCTCTGATGTATTAGGAATAGATTTGGGATGCTGATAAACACCATACAGGATGGGCGATCATGTATGGTGTTTATCAGCATCTCAAATCTATTCTATTGTTATATCCTATTGGGGATTTTATTCACGGTTTTTCATTTTAGAGAGCGCTACACCTATTTTTGAATATTCTCAGCACTTTGCTCTCCTTCTCCATATTGCTCTAGCCCAGCACCTGACCACACCTAAACAAATACGATGCCATCCTACTGGAGACAAAAGCAGAGGAAGGCATTATCATGGGGTGTACTGTGGTCTTTGTGAGAGGTAATATAAATCATGGTCATGGACATCAATAGAAGCCTGTCAGAGGCTGCAACCCCTTCTTCAATTCCAAAAATATCAGCAACAGGTGAATACAAAAATCTTCTTTACTGCATAAAGAAGTAAAACTATTCCATAATAAACTGATGCTAATGCTTTTCAGTCTAAATACAGACCTTATTCATAGCTAGTTCTATCAAAAATAACAAAACCAATATATGGAGTGGAACATGGCTGCCCAACCCACCATTTGTAATCGAATCAAATAACGACACCTGTAGATGCAGGGGACGGGCTGAGCTAACGTGCACCACTATCCACATAATACACCCAGTGAACATGATAACTCACAAAAATAAGAGGGGGATTAGGCATTGTAAATTATTACAGAGAGAAGCATGGTGGATCCACAGGTTGCAGACCAGATCACCTTTGGGGTTAAACCTCAGGTGAGATGTGGATCTGCATCTGGGTTGATCTTCCGCTTTATTCGCTCCTGAATTCTTTAGACATATATGTGAAGTATTACTTTTATAACTTCCAAAAGCCAGTATGTATTAGAGTTGATATATTTGTGTATGTTTTCCCCTGTGGTTATTTATGTGCTTATTGGGAGTTCTCATGTTCACTGGGTGTGGTATATGGTTAGTGGTGCATGTTGGCTCAGTCTGTCACATTAGCTCAGTTGTATTCAACTGTTGCTGACATTTTTGGAATCGGAGTTGTACTCCTAAACAGATGGAGACTACTAATCGGGCATGGTGAGTTTATATGCTTTAAGCCCAAAACATTTGACGGGTAGTATCAACCAGGGCCGGATCTAGCCTGTCTGATCTGCCGGTGCAGTAAAAAAGTCAGGGGGGCATAATGTCTACACACTACCATTTTATCCTCTCCTCTATTAGCTCCCTACAACTCCATGTGGCTGCAATGAAAAACACATGTATTAGGCCAGCGGTTTTCAACCTTCAATCCCAGCTGAGGAAAAACTGGGATTGAGCAGAAAATAAGTCCAGCAGTGCATGTAGCACAGGATAAGCAGAAGAAAAGGAGGGCACCCTCCTTTTTCTTCTGCTTATCTTTGAGGGATTCCCCACATCCTTGACGAGGAGCTGCCATTCCCTTCCCAGGCGTTTGCCTTCTGGTCCATCCCTTCTTCCATCATCAGCCTCAGGACAACTGTGTATACACACTGCCACCACTTCGGTCACATAGGATCTTCACCATCTCTGACGAGGCTTGCCAGCTCCTATCCAGGTGTCCTGGTTCCTTGGTCTGCCTTCTCCTCCTATTGCCTATCCTATGGACCAGGGGCGGACTGACCATTCGAGCACTGCCCAAGGGCCCGAGGTCAGTAGGGGGTCCCATGAAATGCCCCTGGTACCTTTTTTATAGGCTTTTTTTGAGTTTGGGCAAGGACACAGGGGCCCCACGATCGGTCAGTCCACCCCTGCTATGGACCATTCCACCCAGTGACTCTTCTCCATTATATTGTGTGTTCAGTCAGTTCCCATTTTTTCCTTCCACTATGCCCTATGTCACCATCCCCATTCTATAGCTTGTGAGCGCTGAATTTTTGTTAATTATATTTAATGATCATTGCATGTACCACAGTGCATGTAGCACACCATTGCAATTGGTTGTCATGGTCAGGCTGTGCCCAAGGCTAGGTTCACACCGATGCAGGTTGCGTTTGAGCCGTTTCTGCATTGAGTTTTTGCTGTGTTTTTGATGCATTTCGTGGGTTTTTTTCTAATTTTTTTCTTTCTTTTTGCTAGGCAGATTTAAAATGCAAAACGCATCAAAAACACAACAAAAATGCAACAAAAGTGCAAAACATGCTTTTCTGCAGCATTTCCATCGAAGTCTGTAGAACCAAAAATGCAACGTTTAAAAAAGTCCCTGACCCTTTCCAAAAAATACATCAGGTGAAAACACACAGATGTAATCATGTCCCATTGGAAATCATGTTAAATGGATTGTACTGCATTTCTGCAAAACGCTGCAGAAAATGCTTAGGTGTGAACCTAGAGCAGTGATGGCGAACCTTTTTGAGCCCGAGTGCCCAAAACTGCAACACAAACCAACTTTTTTATTTCAAAGTGCCAACACTGCAATTAACCACTTGCTTACCTGGAGGCACTGACAGACGGCACTGATCGGCGGCACTGCTGGGCATCATTGATGGGTGGCACTGATGGGCGACACTGCTGGGCAGCACTGACAGGTGGCACTGCTGGGCAGCACTGACAGGTGGCACTGCTGGGCAGCACTGACAGGTGGCACTGCTGGGCAGCACTGAGAGGCGACACTGCTGGGCAGCACTGAGAGGCGACACTGCTGGGCACTGATGGGTGACACTGCTGGGCACTGATGGATGACACTGCTGGGCACTGATGGGCATCATTGATGGGTGGCACTGATGGGCAGCACTGCTGGGCGACACTGCTGGGCAGCACTGCTGGGCGACACTGCTGGGCAGCACTGACAGGTGGCACTGCTGGGCAGCACTGACAGGCGACACTGCTGGGCACTGATGGGCGACACTGCTGGGCACTGGATGGCACTGCTGGGCATCATTGATGGGTGGCACTGCTGGGCAGCACTGACGGGTGGCACTGCTGGGCAGCACTGACAGGTGGCACAGCTGGGCAGCACTGACAGGCGGCACAGCTGGGCAGCACTGACGGATCGCACTGCAGGGCATCATTGATGGGTGCCACTGATGGGCAACACTGCTGGGCACTGACAGGCGGCACTGATGGATGACACTGCAAGCAGTTAATCTCACCTCTGGCAGCGTCGGTGTGGCTTCCAACCCAGCAGCTCATTCCCATCTACGCTTAACACGTTGCCCCTGGCCCCGGAGCAGTGTGGGAGCCTCTTCCTCTCTTCCACGCCCATCCCCGGCTACATCACCCCTGGTGCCAGAGCCGCATTGGAGCCGTTTCCTCTCGTCCACACCCACCCTGGCCCCAGAGACATGTGGGAAATGTAGTTTGATGGGGGGTCCAGTGTGGACGAGATCTGGATGGCCGGTCCGTGTGCGCTCATCTTCCTCTTCTTCCTGGCGTGCCCACTGAGATGGC